TCTCGTAGTTGCAGACGTCGCAGCGAAACGTGGGCTTCGGCTTGCTCTGATTGCCAGATTGAGCCGCCAAGTGCGGGCTGTGATTCTGCTGGTGATGGGGACTCCGCGTCGGCATCGGCGCGTCTTGCGACGAGGAAGGGTTGCTGCTGCCGGAGCCGCCGCCGCCACCGCCTTGCTGCAACTCCTGCATGTTGTTTAGGTGCTTGTCGCTCTGCATGTGTATGCTGAGATTACCCTTGGTCGTGGTCGAGTAATTGCACACCTCGCACCTATAGGGCTTGTAACCGCAGGTGTAAGTCTCGCCGCGCGCTAACCTAGGATGTGGCTGACCGGCGATACAATAGATGCAGGACGTCTCACTGTCCGGGTGTTTCTCCTTCATGTGTATCTCGAGGGTCTCCTGGTACTTGTAGTGCCAGTTGCACTTGGGACACTTGAGTGTCTTGCACGAGTTTCGGCTGTGGATGCCGGCCAACATCCCGCCGGGCGGGTGTCGGTTCAGTATGAGCTCGCACTTGGGACACTCAACCCCGCTCGGTCGTCCCTGCATGTGCTCCGGGCAGACGCCTATCGTCGTGCCGGTAAGAAAGTTGGGTGGTTGCTGCGTGAGCGCGACATACGAAGACGGGGAGCCCTTGGTGGATGAGCTCGGCGGCGGCGGCGGCGAGGTGTAGTGCATGGCGTCCGACGCCTTCGCCCAGGAGGCGGCGCTCACCTGCGCGCTGGTTATCCACTGATGCTGCTGCTGTTGCTGATGGTTGTACGTGAGCGGATGACTCGAGTGCGACGTGGGCGTGGTGGGGGTGCTCGGCGAGGGCCGTTGCTGCTGCTGCTGCTGTATCTGTTGCTGGTGCGACTGCTGCTGCTGCTGCGATTGCTGCTGCTGCTGCTGCTGCTGTTGCTGAGGACTGCTCGGTACACCGGGGGTGCTCGCTGGTGTACTCGTCGTCGTCGGTGTTTCGTTCTCCATGGACTCGTTTCTCTGTTGCTGTTGCTGCTGCTGGTTCTGCAAAGGCGCGGGCGACACTTGCGCGCAGGTCGAGCTCGTGACGGGTTCGAGGAAACTGACGAGCGGCTGTTTTCCTCTACCGACGGCCTGTATGATGGCCGAAGCGGTCGAGTGCGAGAGTATCTGCCGCTCGTCCTCCATCAGCGTGAGCTGGTGCTCGCCTTGGGCATGCGCGACGAAGCTCTTGGCGTAGCCGAAGCTGAGCTTGCATATGAAACACATTAGGATAGGCTTGACAGGTACCGACGCGGCGGGCGGCGGTGGCACTGCGGGTGCCGGAGGTGGTTGCTTGCTGCCTTCCGCGCTCCTGTAACTGATCACCCGGTAACTGTGCATCACGGGAAGATCGGGATTGTGCTGTTGGGCCGCGGAGCGTTGCTGCTGCTGTTGCTGCTGCTGGTAGGTTGCTGCCTGATGCGCGTACAGCCGCGACACGTAGAACGCGCTGGCGATTTGCGGGAAAACTAAGGTGTGAGGAACCGAGACGCCGCGGCCGTCGACGATGCAACCGTCCGGTAGAGAGTCGTCCTCGCTGAGTTCGCTCTCGCCCTCGATGATGTAAGCCGAGCCGTCCGGGTTGTAGACGATCTTGCCGTCGAACTTCTCCACGTCGCCGCCCGTCGGACTCGGGCTCGGACTGGGACCCTGCTGCTGCTGTTGCTGCTGACCCTGCGACTGCATCGTCATAGTAGTGGTGGTGGTGGTGGTGGTGGTGTCCGCGATGGGCGTCGGTGTCGGTATCGCGTCGCGGGTGCAGGGTTCCGTGCCCGAGGGTGGACTAGCCGTCCGGGGGTGATGGGGCTGATGTAGAGCAGCCCCAGCCGCCGGGGGGGACCCACCCCCGCGGCCCCCCTCCTCCTCCGGGCTCATCTCCTGCTTCTGATGCGCGTACGTGGAATTTTGAAAGGGTACGCCGTGTTGCTGCTGGCGCTGTTGCTGTTGATGGGCCGCCACCAGCTGCTGATAGAGCTGATGCTGCCCGATCGCGCTCGACGTATGTTGCTGTATGTGCGAGGGAGGAATGTTGTGATGTTGTAGGTGGTACTGGGGGGGATGGGGCTCACTGGAGGGCATCACCCCAAACGTGAGGCGGCCGCCAGCCTCACATCACCTACGGCGCCTGCGTCTGCGCTCTCCGGACTGCCTCTTCTTCTTCTTCCGCGCGTTACGCTCACCCACGTCCTCGCCGACTGCCTCCCCGTCGTCTTGTCCTTCTCGTCGCCAGCGAGATACGATTTACTAGCTACTCCGACGCAAGCCCAGGTCGTACCTGCAACATTCAACGGGAAGGGGGTCGGTCGTTAGTCGTTGGCTGCAGTTGTCAAGTCGGAATTTACGCGCGTCTTAGCTCTACTACGTGCACCTCTTGGCTCGGTCTCTATATATATCTCACTAGGTCGAACTGCGGAAGGATCGTCGAGCGACGGTGATCGAGCGGATGAATATCACTGAGGATTTGCCTCGCTGATGTCCGTCGGCGGAGGAAGCGAGACAGGGAGAGAGGAAGACTAGACGTGGCTCGCTCGTGAGAGAATGAATTCAGACGGGCTATTTAGGAGTCGTCTAGTCGGTTAATCCGGACAAACAGGCCCGACGTAGTGCCGAGGACAACCGAAAGATAGCGAAATACACAGAACCGCGAGAGAGGCAAGCTGCGTGTACAGAGGATCGCGGACGAGAAGACGGCGGGTAGGTACACAAAGCCGCGGAGGAATCGTCGTGGCGAACACAACGGCTCGTTGTGTTCGGATTACCTGAAGTGAACCCAGCTGTGTTTGCGATCGATCGGCCGGGCTTATCTGTCGATGGTATATCGATGTTTCCGTTCGCGCGGTCGGTGCAAGAAAGAGAGAAGGAGACCCGCGAGGAAACGACCCGCTGAATGGCGAGTCGTTTCTATGAATGCTCGCCTGTATGCGGTCCAACATTTTTCGTCGCGTCTCTCCTGCGAGAGGCGGGGGGAGGGAGGGGGAGAGGAGGGGAGAGAATCTTCTTCTCCTCCTCCTCCTGCTTTATCGAGCTGGAGTTTTCGTTCATATTGTGCGCTATGAAATGGAGCATTGTTCGCGCATTCGCAAATAATCGCATCACTCCGTTCGCAGAATTAACTCGTCTTCGTGCCGCGCACGTACAAGCTAGACGTTCTGAAAAATTCGCTCTCTCTCTCTCTCTCTCTCTCTCTCTCTCTCCCTTCCTTCCCCTCCCTCCGTCTTGTTCGCAGGCAGAACTCCCTCCGGGATTTATCGCGAAGACAATACGCGATTCTTACTTCGCGTCGGGAGTCGAGTCGACGTACACGCATCGCCCGAAGGCCGACGCCGAGCTACGTGCGCAAAAAGCGAAAGGGAGGAAGAGGAAAAAAGGGGTTAAGGCGCGTTCTCCGTGTCCATCCCCCAAAATGACGACCGAAGAAGACGTCGTCGGCCGCTTTGATTACCGCGGGGGATAACGCGCTCGCTCGGCGGCTCGCGTAATCCACGTTTCCACTGAAACGTGCGCGATGATGCGAATTCCTGCCGCGAGCGAGCGAGCGAGCGAGCGAGAGGCAAAGGGAGACGGACCGAGGAAGAGAGGAAGAGAGAGAGGTAGGATTCTCTAATAATCTAATCCCAATTACGCGCGGAATCGCGGCCTCGAATCAACGTCGTGAGCAGGAGGCCGGCCGCAAGCATTCACGGAATCTAACGGATTAAAAGATGAGCCGAGTGGGTGTACACGGATTTATGCGCCGGCTCGCTCGCGTGCGTATGCACGGGGGTGTGGAGCAGCGTGACGACCGTCCGAGCGAGCGGAGAGTATCCTATCCTGCGGAAGAAGCCGCTGAAACGATCCCTCTCTCCCTCTCTCTTCCTCTTTTGATCGCCCTCTTCTCGCCCGTTGGCCGCGGGCGGCATCGCCGGACATTATGGTATATACGCGTATACGCGGCATTACATAGCTCCCTTCTTCCTCACCCTGTGCGCGTCCCCCCTCCTCCGCCTCTTCTTTCTCCTCCTCCTCCTCCTCCTCCTCCTCTTCCTCCTCCTCCTCCTCCTCCTCCTCCTCCTCCTCATCGACCCGCGCCATCACCACAGTTATAATTCCGCGGTGCAAACTCCATAATCTAGTCACCGTATCCCCCGGCATCTCTTTCTCGAACGATACCGCTTTTATAATGCGTAAGGTACGCCGGCCGGCCGGCCGGCCGGCCGGCCGCGATCGTTCCCTCGGATTATCATCGATCGATACCGCCAATCCTAGGCGAATCTTTCCTCTCCGTCCGATGCCCAATCACGCGCCGCGCCGCGCGCGCACGCGGAGAAACGTTCCGCGCGATCCGATAAAACGCTTACCTACCCCCCTCACCGCCCCCTCGACAGGGGCTCATTAAGGCGAAATCGTACGCGTTTAGGGATATAATTGCGCCTTGCGCTGCACTGGGTCGATGTTAAACGAGCCGGGAGAGGTGGGTAGGGGGGGGGGTGAGGGCAGGGTGCACAATGCACCTTCGCGGCGCGAAAGACGCGGCGGCGGAAAGACGTTGCTCCGAGTTTCTCGACGTCGTCGCGCCGACGCGATACAATCGCTCGTCACTGCGTCGTCCAAGACGGCAATTAGAATTTCATGGCGCTGCTTTGTCAATCGTTTCTTTTATATCTTCGTCGCCAGGAGAATCTCGGTATTTGCCCGCCGAGGCAAGAGGCCTCTCGTGCGCGTGATCCGATATCGATAAGTTATCACGTTCAGCCGTGCTGCGCGTACATGTATATGCATGCGCATGTGTGCGTAAGCAGGCGGGATATAAAGGAGAAAAAAAAGGGAAAACGAGGGTAACAACGTCAGGGCATTGTGTAAGGAGAAACATCTGCCAATCTGACATCACCTGCCGCGGCTTGCCTATTTCTAGTCAATCTAGCACGCGCACGTCGCGTCGGCGATGGCTTACGAGCGATGGACGACAAAGCGGCGTCGGTGCGTATATGTTTGTGGCGTGTGCGCCGTCGAGAACGGCTTTGTTTTCGCAGGGCCTGGCCGCAATTAAACGATAGCATCTTAATTGTCTCCCGACCATTCCGCTAAGGCGGCAATTCATGGCCGCGCGCGTTCGTTTTTCGAGGCTAGAGAGAAAGAGCAAGAGAGAGGAAGAGCGAGACAGAGAGGGACCGAGAGAGAGAGAGAGAGAGAGAGAAGTTGATTCCTTACAGCGTCCTCTATCGACAGTTTCTCACATCGCATACACTCGCGCGATTAGCATGTTCGCGCGCGGGCCGAGATTCGCGCGAGTACTATTATCGCGTCGGGAGACGAACGACGAGCGAAGAAGGAGAGAAGAGAAAAACTTATCCGGAATTTTATCTTGTAGCGAGCGACATGTAGAGATGTGAGAATCAAGAATTTTTATGTCGAATTCGAATCGAATCGAATGAAATCGAGTTGAATCGATAGAAAATTTAACATGACTATTAAACATGCAAATAATGACGGAAGATTTTAATATGAAAAGGAACATTGATGTATTGTAATATCATCTTAAAGTAAAATATATATTTAAATATTTAAAGTAATTTATAATTAAGCTATTAATTATAAGTTAAGTTAATTATAAGTTAAGGGTTCAAACATACGGGCCCAGATGGCCCGTTTTGTAGCCGATGCGCGCAAACGCTGATGTATTTGATTCGTATTCGAATCTCCGCGATTCGAAATTTTCCAATTATTCGGATTCGAATCACAGGGACTCGAATTCGAATAGTTCGCACATCTCTAATAGATGGATATCTCACCGGAAGCGGCAACGTGTGACGTTACCGTTTTGATTCTCCCCGTTGAGTCGCGGACACAGCACGCGACGTAAAAATCCCTCCCGCGAGAGGTGTACTCTGGATCGCGATAAAACACGACGACGACGAGGACGACGACGACGACGACGACGAAGACGACGATATCAAGGCCTGTAAATATCCCCGGCGAGCGGGGCAAAACGGAAGTGAAGGAGCGGAACACGAGCGAGCAACGCACGCCTTACGCGATGGATGGGTCTACGAGCGCGTAACGGCGCGGGCGATACCGCGAAGTCAGGCATAATTATAACTTTGGAGAAAGTCGGAGAGGAGACGATCACAGGTGGCTGATGAGTGTTCAATAGTGGAAAAGGGAAGCGCATGACATAACACGGCGCGGGAAGAAAGACGATAGAGGGCACACGCGGTACGGCCACCGTCGGCAGCGCGGCAATGGCCGGCGGCAGGGGCGGCGGGGAGGGTGAGGAAGACGAGGGCGATTCGGCGGGGCGAAGAAGGGTCCCCCTGGTGATGGGAGTTAAACGTTCGGCGAAGGAGCGACCGCGAAATCGACGCACCGTCGTGCCCTTTGTTTGTCGCGGCGTCTCGCCCGAAGTTCCCTTTGTATCCCACCCTGGAACGGAGGTAGGAGGCATCCCGCGGGCTCTCGCGCGGGGCCCACATGGCGAGCCGCGGGGCCCGGCCCCGCGCGTTATTCGGCACGAAATACGCAAGATGCGCGCAATTATGGCCTCTCAATTATCTCGTACGCGTCTCGTTATTTATTGAATATATATCGTGCCTGCTTATTTCTCAGGCGAGTTTGCGTGCCGCGGTGGAAGAGGGAAAACACGGGGTGTCGTCTCAAAGGGCGACGGACGGGTGTAGGACGGCGGTCGTCGGTGTGTGTGTGTGTGTGTGTGCGTGCGGCGGTGTATGTTTCTCTCCCTTTCCTTTTTCTTCTTCTTCTTCCTACTCGTCGTCGTCGTCGTCCACTTTGTCTGCTCTTTTTCTCCGCCGCTCGCAGTTTCGACACGGCCGCCGGCCAGGCGACATTGTTCGCTTATGTACGGACGTGCCGATCAAGCGGAAGTTGTCGAAATTCCGCGTCGCGCAAACGCAAACCGCAGACTTTCGCGTGCTCCGCATACACGCTCCGCGCGCGCGCGCGCGCGCGGAATAAGCAGGCGTGTCATTAAGGACACCTCGGCGAGAGAGTCCGCGCGACGATGGCCGCCGCGCGCGACTGACAAGCCTCCTTTGATTGGATTGACGCTATCCGGAATCCTATTATGCTTGCGCCTTGTTAGATGGCGAGTGCGTTTCATGTGTATGCGCCTCTCGGAGCTTCGTCTTTCACTCCGGCCGCACAATCGGCCGGAGCTTCCTCATACAGCTGTTTAGCCCTTTGAGCAGTTTTTTTCTTTATTCCCAACATTTTTAGCATTGTGCATGTTAACGGAGGCGGGCGGAGGATGCCAGACAGTTGTAAACAGTTTAATTCGAGAGG